TACTTCACTATTTTACCAGGCTCTGGATTAGAGGTGGGATGGCCAGGACTCGAACCAGAGACCATAGGAGATGGCAGGTGGCAGCCTCACTCACTTCACCATGGTGCCAGCTCCTCTTCTCTTCTAAGCAGAACGGGACAGACACCTCTGCCTGTCCTCTTTAAGGGAGACCAGCAAAGGTTTAAGCACCCAGGCTCTCGGCTCTGTGCTCTGTTCTTCCACAGCCAAGTTCCCAGGGACTGAACAAAACCAGCGTCCTTTCAATGCTGCAAGCAGACGTATGCTGAGGGAGAAACAGCCCATGACCCTGTCCTTCGCTGCCCTTGACCCTGTCCTTCGCTGCCCTTGACCCTGTCCTTCGCTGCCCTTGACCCTGTCCTTGGCCCATGATTCCATCCTTTCCTGCCCCTGTGACACTCTCCCTCCCTGCCTGTGACCCTGTCCCCCTGTGCCCGTGACACCCTCCCTCCCTGCCCATGACCCTGTCTTTCACTGTCCATTTTTTAAGTTAGATATTAGAAACCCGTTATAGGAAAGCATTCAAATGGAGGTGTAGGAAAGTATAAGCCTCCCCATCCTCCCAGCTTCCCTTCACAGAAGGAAATCCTTTTCAGTTTTCAGTTTAACATGGGCACATATCCACTTTCAGCTCTACCCATCTGTGTCCAACAGGCCTGTCTGCTCCATTTAGAGCTACAATTCGAAGAGCTGCTCTTCTGTGGCCCACGGGGAACGTGCATCACGGTTCCCTCTGGCATCCCCTCCCTGGTGGACACCAGGGCTAACACGAGGACTTCAGCCCTGCAGTGACCCCACCGCTCATTTGACTAGAACTCCAGGAAACTCCACTGGTCACTCTGCGGCCAGCACTGCCTCGCCAAAAGATGAACTTCCGAAAGTCATTCAGAAAAAAGCCATTCCCGAGTTTACACATCGTTTGACTTTTCAAGACACAGGCCTAATGACATGATGTCTGTTCTACATAAATTTAACTTTAAAAAACCAGTGGAAAAAAATAATCCAAGGTAAAAAAAAAAAGTATGTCAACTTCTATAGTCCCCAGGGGTATTTTTAATAAGTTTTATAAATTCTGCTCTAGACACTTTGGAAATCACATGGTCACTATCCTTTTTTCCTTTTACTTAAAAAAATAAAATAAAATAAAACACCACAGCAAACAAACAAAAACTTTCTCATTGTCTTAACCTGAAGTTAAAACGAGCATGTTACTGCTTTCCTTGCATCCAGGTAGCATCTAGAGGCACTTAGTGGCAAATCAGAAGGGAATTTTGCATCTCATTCTGGTGAACAACTGCTTTATTTTCCTCTGTAATAAATTACAGGCAGACTTGAACAGATGTCAGCCTGGCATTCAAAGCCTAAAATATGGCTGAAAAGCAAGTTATGACTAATACAAGGGAAAAGATGAATGTCAGAAAGCTTCATTTTTTTTTTCAAATTTCAGATAAGCTCTTTAGCCTTAGGGTTCCTCTTACAGAGCCCTGGAGTTCGGCTAGATGTCTTAACCCCCATTTACACTGCAATCTCCTCAGGAGTGGGGGTGTGAAAATGCATTTTAAGAGTGTCAGTGTTTATGTTAATCTTAGTGAGAACTCCCTCTCTCCCAAATATGGCATGCACACAGCCCCGGTGCCCTCTCTTCCCCTGGGTTTTATTTGCGCTGTTCTTAGCATGTGAAAGATGTCTGTGTGTGACTGGAGGGCTCCTTATCTACTCAGCAGCTCCGCTGCCCGCTGCAGTTTCACTTGCCCTATCAGAGAACAGTTGCTTTCCTCCTGAATTTCAAAAGAAACTTTTAAAAATACACATTGAAAATGGGCTGAGAGAGGGGAGAGAACTACCTAAGAATGGGGCACAAAACCACAACAAGGGGCGTTCCCAGGCCACAACAAGGTGGCCTGGGCACTGACAGCCCCACAGATGCCCTGCAGAGCGAGTAGCCAGGCCCCTGTGGAGCTGAACTGCTCCCAGGGTCACAATGGGAGTCTCTAGTTAGCTCTAGTTGACTATTCCCCCATGGTTTAGTGAACAGAATTTTTTCTTTTTGTTTTGACATTCACGATTTGGAGATCCCTGTCGGGGATGGTGGCAGGAACTGTGACAACACACGAGTTACAAGGACTGAGGGGAGCCATCATGCATTGAGCCTGACTGCTCTCCACAAACCCGTGGGCAGGTCACCTCTGGACAGAAGTATCCGCTTGGCTGCCATGTGGAGGGAGTGGGTGCTGGACGGCAGTCAGCTGCTGGACTTGCTCACCTCCACCTGTGACTGCTGCCTGGCAAGCTCACACTGCTAGCCTGGGGCTCAGACAAGTCTCGCTTCTGTCGCTGTACAAAGCAAGGCTCCTAGGGAATTCCTGAGCAGACCTCTTGGGCTGCAAGGGCTGCCAGGACGCCGGCGCTCGCACCTGCCAGGTGCTCACAGGCGCCGGCCGCGGGTGCCCGCTAGTGCTTTCACACACTCCCAAACACAGGCCGATAGCTCCACGGGTTCAAACAACGGGAAAAGCAAAAGCCACTTTGAGATCCCCTCCCAAAGGCCTCCTCTGCCTTTACCCCTCCGCCTGGAGAGTCTTTTTGACTCCTATCTCCTTCAAGGACTTCCTGGATTACAATTCCATAAAAATGGAACAAAATAGGCAAGGTGGAGGTTATACACGGGAGATTAATTCAAGGGACGAGCAAACAGGAAGCGCTGTGGCGATCTTGAACTCTGCGACACACACACACACACACACACACACACACACACACGGTGCCCCCTCCCTGGGTGGAGCTATCCAGTCCCCCCCTACATCTTGTGGGCAACATACTCGATGAACAGCAACTGTATTCTTAATTTTAAAAAGATAACATGAAATGGTACGAGCAATAGTCATGAACTACATCGCCTGTCAGGCTCATAAACACAACGGCAGGACAGAATTTGAACCAGTTTTCTTAATTTGAATTGATTTAACCACTCATACCTAGTGCCTGACTGAATCCCAAAACCTCGTACATTTATCTATTTAGTTAACCAAGAATGAGGGGGAAAAGCAGCCAGTTCTGCTCCCGTCTGACTAAGTCAGAGAACACGGGGGGTTCACACCCAGTGGAGCCATACACGTTTATTCATAGTCTGGGCAAGAGCAGCAGCTCAGCTCCCCGCCGCTTAGCCTTTCAGAAGCACCTCCACGTTTTTAGACTCTCCAGGTCCTATTCTGAATGTTTTCAGTCCAGCTCAAGGCCAACCAAGGTAGCTCTACACTGCTTGTCTTTTAATTACATGGGCAAGATGAATTTTGTGATAGAAAAAAAAAAAGCCAAAGGCATGACTTATGAAAAAAAGAGAAGAGCTCATTTTCTAAATAAAATGCTATAAAAATATTTGAAAAGATAAATATATAAAAGGCTCTGTAGAGCAGCACTCAACAAAACTCGCCCTTAGTCAAAAAGCCCAGGAGCAGCACCAGAAAGCTTCCGCCTGTAACTCCCCCAAGGTCAAGGTGGCGGCCAGAGCCGGATTCCGGACTCTGTGTCTGGGCCCCCAGGGCCTGGCTGGTGCACAGGTGGGACCCTGCTATTTCCACAGCAACTGAATCCTCCACCGCGCCTGAGGAGCAGCGGCCCCTGATACTCTAAAGCCAGTGCTTACTGTGCTGTTGTTTCACTGCGTGCTGACTACACTGGATCAACGTGCAAAGAATGCGTACCAGACTCCCACCACCACCACACCGCAGTTCTGAAACCAGGGACAGCATTCCATGAGAATAACACCACAACCATTCTTTTACCTGTTTTCACTCCAACTACCTTTAAACTGTTTTCATATTTAGATTTAAAAAAAAAAAAAACGACCTTACAGAATTACTGTGTCTCAGAAGATGTATCACCAAGACCACGAGCAACCACATTTGTTATGGTTTTCCAAAATAGAAGTCTGCTGTTTTTTTTTATGAACTTGGCCTTTGTATCTTTCAGATAAAAAGTACATTATTGCCATTTCAAGGTGCATAAAACTTAGGTGATGAGGGTCTCTGTCATTTTCTCTTAATCCAACTCCAAACTCGACCTTTACCCGGCGGACAGGTGTGTGCTGCGTCTGTTCTTCATCAGAGCGAGCGACCAGGCAGCAAGGCTACCAAGCACAGGGGGCACAGCCGGGCACGCGGTGCCTGGAGAGCAGCGCCTACCCGACCGTGATTAATACACTTTTATCTCCCAGTAGCAATTTAAAGATAAAGAATGATGGGAGTGGGGGAGTCATATTTTCTTATTCCTTCCATTTTTCCTAGATTCTGTTTTTACACTAATATCTGCCAGAAGCTGTTAGGTTATAAATTCCTTTCTCAGATATTCTGCTGCTTGCATTCCAATCCAGTGCGTGATATGGATATGAAAACGGACAGAATTTCCAGTGGGCAAATACAGTCACGTCACAGAGATGAACTTCTTCAAGAAGAAAATGATAAATGAACAGAGTATTTCTTTGTTTAAAAGATACAAACCGCTCTGCGTATCCCATTTCTGTCTTTTTTGGAGCAAACTGATCTGCCAGGTATCCACGTGCTAGGTGTGAAGAGGCGCTAGTCGGGGACACACGGGTACAAGGCAAAGCCACAGCAGTCGGTCTGCGACCTGGGACTGGCCACTCGTTAGCCGGCAGCATAGGGCAGACCTGCAGTGGCTCTGTGCTACCCAGGAGAAATTACTAAATGTGTTCCCAATATAAGTAAATGAAATGGGGCAATCACAGATTTCATTTCTGTGATTTTTTTTCCATGAAATCAAAATGCAATTTCAGAGGTTCTAATGTTGTGAAGCTCTTTCAAACACATCTACCCTTCAGCTCTGGTGTGTGCGTGCTTCCACGAGTTATGGTAGAAAAGCACTTTGGCAGGTCTGCGGGCACTTCCCTGACCACTGAGAAAACCTCTCCACCGCCCACCCCGCCGTCTGCCACGCCAGGCCAGCGGAGGCTTCTCCCAACTCACCCATCTGCTCCACGATCTCCGGCGGGAACACCCGAGACGCAAACGCTCGTCGGAAGATATCAGAAAACTCCTTGTCCAAACCTCCGATTCCCATTTTCTCAAAGTTCCAGTCGGGATTGATGATGGATTGGCGATTTTCCTTGGTTTTAGCCTTGCCTGCATCAAATAAACACGATCCAGTGTGAAAGAGGACTTCAACAGGCAGGTCAACAGGCAGACACCACGCCCTGGGCCTGGCACCAGCCCCTCAGGACAGCATCCTGGGGGCTCATCTTTCTCCCCGGGAAGTCTGCTGTGTGATTGACTTTGTCCAGACCCCCCCTGAGGACAGCATCACACTTCCAAACGCCTGGCGATGCTACAGTTCATGTGCAAGCAATCCCTGGAGCTTGGTGTCAGTAATCTTCAACACAGCCAAACTAACTTGGCTGACTAGAACAAACAGCAGACCCCCATCTCATGAAAACAATAGGAGTTAGCTGCCAACCATGCAACTGAAGCCCAGCAGTCTCTCAAGACGACCAGAGCACGTTATTTAAAACACACGTCTCACCTCAGTGAAGCTTATAACTGGCTATGGAGCCCTTTGGCCTGTCATGATGCATTGATTGATTTGATGACTTGATTATTTTTCTTCAATTCTATACTAACGTCTAAAATCATTGCAAGGACTTTAATGATGACAAAATTCGTATTTACAAATTCTTTTCACAAGGATAAAATTGATCTAACTTAGAGGTCAGAGTGCCACCTATGGGAATTCAAGAGAACCACTTGTTTCAGACACAAAGAAGTACTCCAGTGCATTCCAGTGTAACAACATAAAGGGGCATGATATAGCTTCCATTAAATTAGCGAGGAAAACATCACATTAACAAGAGTTGATCCCAGATGCTAAAGTTATGGTTAGAGTTTTGGGGAGTAAAGTTACCCTTTAGAAAACTATTCAGAAACACTTTTCTCATACTCTGCTGCCCTCTTGTGGCCATATTCACTGCACGCCAAAACCCACAAATTTATCTTGCATGAAAATGTGTGGGTTATTTGTATTAAAGTTGTACATTTTTGACATAAGACAGCTCAACAAAAGGTGTTCAAAAAATAAAATACTAAAAAGTCACTCCATAAATGTATTGGATCAATAATAGATTATATTATATCTATAAAAATAACATGATGTACGGCATTAAGAATCATTGTAACCTGCTTTTAAAATGCTTGAAACATGTTAATATAATGACAAAACAGTACAAAAATAGAATCAAGTTTTAGGTTGAAAAGTAAAATCAAATTTTAGGCTGCAACTTGTTTTTAATTGAGTGCCTGTCTACATTTTATTTATTGAGTATTTATTGAGTGCCTGGAACATTTTATTTTACGACTAAGGAAAATAAAGGTAATTTAGGTAATTTAGGGAACAAGAAAAAAGACCACATAAAGAAAAGTTGTTGTCTTAAGACACGACGGTGTGCTGCCAACAGGAACCCTCTACTTACTGCTGGGATGGATGGTTAATGACCAAGTCAGAAGTCAGGCACTGCCATTCTGAACCCAAAGCTACAATATTCTAACCTGTGAAACGCAGCGCTAAAGAGCAGGACTGAACTATGAACGTGCTGGGAGGACTGTACCTGCCCGCTCATCACTCGCTCACAGAAGTGATGTGGGCACCTCCATCAACGGAGCAGCCAGGTGAGGAATAAAGGTGACCAATTCTCAAGGTCACGAGAAAACCCGACAGCCTGGAGAGGACCAGAACACAGCAAATGCCAAGCGGGGCCACGAGTAAAATCACAGAACTGAAAACCCACAAAAGGCTGTTCTTTGATGAGGAGCCAGGAAACAAGGTCAATTTCCCAGTTTGGGTTATTATATTAGGACCATTTAAGATGAGCATCTTAACTGAGTGCCCGGCCACATTTTAGAAAGGCTTTTGCTGATCCTCTGTAAGCCTACAATTACTTCAAAATTATAAGAAAAAAAATGGATTTCATTGCTTCTTTTTACTATTGCTCCTACAAAATGAAGAATTACACATGTGTTCATTCTACACCTGCGGGATGATGCTGAGCCAGAGGAAGGCTTTCAGCTGAGCCCTCTGAGACCCCTGATTGTGCAACGCCCCCTCTCTCCTCTCCTCCGTGCAGCAGGGTCACGTGCAGCAACCCAGAAAGGTTCAAATCCCTTAACGCTTACCAATGAGATTGAGTGACGAGTTTTCTGCTTTCTCAAACGCCACTTGGCTGTTCCCAACAACCAGTCCCACTTCAATCTGTGCAGAGAGGCGACAATGAGCAGTCGAACAGACACTTCCCGAGTCCCCAGGCCAACACCGAGGGGAGGCGGGCCTTTCTGTGCAACGCTGATCCTCCAACCCCCACCAGCATCACATCTATCTACTTCAACGAGAACAGTCTTCGACACTCCCGCGTGCGTTATTTTGCACCTCTGTCTCTTCAGTAACATCTTTGTTCTGCATCCTACTAGAATAACAAGTACACACGGAAACTCAACACACTCGCAGACCTGTAAGTACATAATTGTTACCAGCAGTACTGACTACAAAAGCGAGTTCTCCTGCCTACTACTTTATACAAGGAAAAAACGCCAATGAGCAACAAGTTAGGAAAATTATATTAGCCACACAACTAAGTCGCTTTAGATTATCTAATGAAGATGATGAGCAATACACAGACCTTCTGTCTTTTTCCAGTAGCGGGCTCTCCTTTCAGGATGCTGGGGTCCATGGCTTCAATATCCTTCACCAGCAAGCCGAAAAGCTTTTCATTGAAGCTAAACACGAGCTGTGTGGAAAAGAAGGAAAGGAAAAGCCATCATTTCACGATATAGCGGGGCTTCACCCTCAACTCCACACCGCTGTTTTGCAGGTGCAGAAACCAACCTGTCTCCTGTGCCGAGTTCGCCCATCTCCCCAGGCACACGACTCCACCGACTCCCACACTCGTTGAGGGGAACAGAGAACTCGCACTCGGGACCTTGTGCAGCAAACACTCAAGGAGGTTGTATGCTAATACTCATAAATACTATTGCAAACAAATCACGCCTCAGCTTTTCTAGTAAGCATGCTGGAGCTGAACGGGGCAGCTAGCCACAGTATGGGTAGTGCCAGGCGCCAGCCCTGCCCACTTGGAAGTGCCTGCCATAGCGGGCATGGCCAGCCCCTGACTACGCAGCTTCTCATTCATCAGAGGCAAGTCCATCTCAACAAGCGTGGGGGCAAGTGGAATTAAATGACGTGTAATGCAAAAAAGCTCAAGTCCAAGCATAGTAGTTGTTGTTGTTGCTGTTTTTAAATAACATATTCTCCATGAACTTTTCAGACTCTTCGTAGGGAGCACGAGCCAGGCCCTCCCCGGGAAGCAGCAACCCTGCCACGGTCGGCGGCAATCAAGCAGTTACCAACACACCAACCTCTGGTCATTTACTTCTCTGTGTCATGGAGATTCTTCCTTCATGCATTTATTGGTATCTACATATTACTATAGTGTTTAAAATAATTATAAACATAAGAAAACATTTTATATTCAACATTCTTCTAAGCGCTTCCCACTAAGGCCAATGGCAATGGTAAAATCAATGAAGTTTGACTAGGCAACCTGAGGACAGTCATCAGTCAAAAACTGTAGGACCTGGGACTGACACCATGGTAGTAGACGGAGTCTCTGCCTGCAGTGCCAGCATCCCATGTGGGCACCAGCTTGTGCCTCAGCTGCTCCATTTGTAATCCAGTTCCCTGCTTCTAGCTCGGAAAGGTGGTCCTTATACCGCTGCATCCACGTGCAAGAGCCAGAAGCAGCTCCTGCCTTCAGATCAGCCCGGCTGACTGCTGTGGCCATCTGGGGACTAAACCAGTGCATGGAAGAGCTCTTTGCTTCTGTCTCCTTTTCTCTCTGTAACTCTGTCTTTCAAGTAAAATAAATAAATATTTTTTTAAATAAAGGTACTATATCCTTTTCCTGTTGATCAGTAATTCAGTTTCCACTTGCTTTAAGAAGTTAATATGATAAAGCTATAGATCCTTAGCTTTGTTCCCGATTTATGCCATCACACCCACAGCTCTTGTCTCTGCCACTGCTCGCATTCTCCCGAGAGTGGTCAGTAAGCTCTGAGGGTCAGAAGGGCAGAGGTGCCCAGTGTGGATCTGCTGCTTCCGCACTTAGAGGACCCCAGCCAATTTTAGAAACGCGAGAGAGCCCCTCTTCTTTAGAAAATAGGGTTTAAAAATTAAAAGCACATGATTGATGTTAACATATAGTGGACTTCTTGGTGTTCTTTTAAACTGAGTGAATTTAGAAGGTTTTTTTTTTAATGTTTTTATCATTCATTGATGCATTCATCCCCATGGTCTCCACAGAATCCCGCTGCAGCCTTGCCTGAGACCGAGGCAGGGGAAGACAGACAAGGCCTGTTTATCTTTAGGGAAGTAGCAGTGGGTCACACTTTGAAAGCCGCTGCTCTGAAGCTCCGGCTTGTGGGGTCTGCATGATGAGGAGGGTCGAGGAAGGTGCCAAGTGCAAGGGCAACGTCAAAGCAGCAATGAAGGACACAGGAGGTGAGATCTGAGGAGGGGCGCCTCTGCCCGGAAGGTTGAGCAGCACCAAGGAACTGAGCCTAAGCATGAGGCGATCTCAACCAACGATTTCAAAGTGCACGAGCTGAGTTTTGGAAGTTTCCTAAGAACCCTGAAAATATATTTACAGAATTGTCTCAAACATGCAGAGGGAAGAGCTGCTGCGACTGCACATGACATCTGAACGCAAAAGCTCCTTGAGGATTTTTCTGGACTGATTCCTCAGGGCTCAGGAAAAGTATCCTCCTCACGTCTTACCACTCATCTTGGATGTACCTGTTCACAAAGCTCCTGTTTTTAAAAAGTAGAATTAATTTTAGACAACTACAGGGATGAGACATTCTAAAACGTAAAAGTTATGGCTGAAGTTCAAAACCACCTGCTGTCCCACTGAGAAGGCCTGGTTGTTGAACTGTTGGATGAATTCTGCTGCCATCTTGTCCGTGTCGTAAGGGTTGGAGTCGATATTCTTTTTCTGCAGGAAATCGATCTCGATGGTCATTGTGCCAATACATTGCTTGGCTTTGTCAAATGTATACAGGGAGACTAGGAGAAAGGAAGAGAAAGAAGAAAGTACTTTCTAAAACCATAGGGACACCCGACAGTTGCTGTGCTTCCATCACAAGCTTCATGTTGATGGGTCATAATGGAACTCGACCAAACCAGGGCGTCATGTGGTTTCCACCGGAGGGGCACAGGGGTAGGTCAAAAATCCACCAACCCCACAAGAACCTCCTCCTCACCTGCAGTAACCTGAGCAGAGCCACCAGCTTCTCCTCAGCTCCTGTTGGCACTCACCCCGGTACTTTACAGAGGATGCCATGCCCTGCCCACCTGGCCTCTCGTTTACCTTCTCATTTTAGAGAAGACAAATGACAGTCTGAGAAGGTCCAGTGGAGCTGGAGAGCACACTGCTTCCAAACAAGACTTTGGTTTGACACAGAAAGAGTAAGGTGGCAGGTCACAGCACAAGACAGCTGTGAAAAACCACACCGGGGCCGGTGCCGTGGTGCAGCCCGTCAGACGCCACCTGTGATGCAGGCATCCCACCGCTCTCTTTGGACCCGGGTTCCTGTTACTGTGCTTGGAAAGGCAGCAGAGGATGATCCAAGTACTCGGGCCCCTGGAACTCACGGGAGTGACCTAGTGGATGCAGGTCCCTGGGTGCAGTCTGACCCAGCCCTGGCTATTGCAGTCATTTGGGGAGTTGACCAGGAATCAAAGTTCTCCCTTTCCCCAGCATATTAGCAGTGAGATGGATTAAAGTACAGCAGCCAGGGCTGGAACCGACACTCAGATGGGATGCTGGTGACACGAGCAGCACCTTAACGTGCAGTGCCACAATGCTGGCCCTGCATGAACCAACTTTCAAAGAAAAAAATATTACCCTCCCATACACATCAGTTACCCAGAAAAGCCTGTGTAGATTTCTGAATGTATGGTTCCCCAAAAGGGCCACTTGGCGACAGCCAGTGGGGAGAAGCCCGCTGCTGCCTTTCAGTAGGGCTTCCTGCACGCAGCTGGCTCCTTGCTTCCTTCCTGCAGATGGCTGACCTGGAACCTGCCAGTGGTCCCTTCAGGTCTCTTATGCAACACAGTTGAGTTCTGTTACACAACCTCCACCAAGCTAAATCCAGCACGCTGTCCAGCTTTCATCCCTCTAAGCGGCCCCTGCCTGACGCCGCAGGCCTGCAGGCTCTTGCTGCACTGCCGGATGTGCTGCCCGCCGTGCGCCAACTCTGCCCTCAGTCTCCTCGGCTTATGCTTGCTGTGGCTGTTACAGACTGTACAAACAATTAACAACACATGCACTGCTGGAATTTTGACATTCTAGAAATGACATTATAAAACCAAGTTGAAAGCTTTGGGAAAACCTTAAAAAAATTCCTTCAAAAATAGTTAACTAGATATAAGAAAATTAGAGAAGACTGAGGGGAAGACATACAAAACGCCCGAAGCATTCTGCATGCCCAAATGCTTCACAAGGTCTGGGCTCCCCATCCACTTCAAAGAATTCCATGCAGGACTGATAAGCGATGTTCACACACAAAACACGGCAGCAGCTTCCAAACCTCGGATCAAATTCCAGGAAGAGGCCTTCAACCAATCCCCAGTTAACTGCTAGCCCCCACGCCGAGTAACAAAGTATCCTCAGTTCCCACCAGAGCAAGTGATTAAAAAAAAAGGTCAGTTGTCCACACTTGCTTTCAGCAACTAGTCTGATGCTTCTGGGCTTCCTGAGGCCAGCAGACGGCCCCGGGCGAAGCCCAGGCGGCCCTGCAGGGTGGCCTTCCGCCTCCTCACATGACCAGCGTCTGCCGTGCAGACCCCAGCAGCCTGCATGGAACCAGGTTATCCTCAGAGGGATTTAAGCTCTCAGTGCCTTGATTTATTGTGTCAAGGAATCAGGAAAAGTGGCCCAGATGTCCCTACACTTCCTTCACACTCTATTCTAAACATATTTCTTAGAGTCACGTGAACTAAACACATACAAGATTTCCTGTCAATTCTTTGAATCTTTATGTTTTGATATGTTATCCTACAGGCAGACACACACATTTTAAGAGATGGAACACACACTGCAGATCAAGGACTACATTCCCATTGTGGTTGCTGGTTTCAGAATACTCCCAGGTCTCTAACTCTGGGCAGTCTCTTGCTTCTTGAAAGTACAGGCTATGTGCTGAGTAAATCTCACAGGGAGGACAGTTAGCTGTCTCCCTACACTGGAAAATATTCACGCTCTGAAACAGTCATGTTAGGGTGAGTACACTTCAGGTGGCTATAACTTCCAGGTGCCTGAGCATTTCCCTGCAAGAGCCACAAGGAGGCGCACTGAAGCATTATTCACAATATCCAAACACTGACAATGCCGTGCGAAATAGTGAACAGGAGTAGTATGCTCCCAAAGTAGGACACAGTGCAGCAATTTTATAAGTAAAAAACTGCTGCTGCATTTTTAACAAAGATAGGTAGTCTATGAAAATGAAATACTGAGAGAATATATTTTACAAATATGTGTGCGGTATGACACTATTCTGCACATTCAAGACTCAAAAACAACGCCATGTCAAAGTTGATACTGTGTATAATTGAATATACATACATCATTTTGAGAAATTTGAATAAGTCTATTAAAATGTCTTCATTACTAACTGCATTTTTCAAGTACATTTTAATTTCAGGTTAATGTACCAGATAGAGACCTAAGCTTCTGTAGTAGCTCCAGATGCTGTGGACAATACCATGGACAGAGGCACGGGCAGCACCATGGCCAGCACCATGCTTGGTCCCCAGACTGCAAATCCTGAATGCTTACATAGAGAACTCCCATTCCAGAATCCTTAAGCACTCCTCCCTCAAGTCATAAAACACGCTTCTCAACTCATTGAAATGTACACCTTTGGAGAAGGGGGCATTTAGCTTGGAGATTATGTCACTCGCATCCCACTTCAGAGGACCTGGGTTCAATTCTCAGCTCTGGCTCCTGACTCCAGCTTCCTGCTAAAAAAACAGAACCCAAGAGGCAGCAACGAAAAGCTCCTTTGGGTTCTTGTCACCCACACAGAAGATGTGGATTTAGTTCCCAGCTCCCAGTTCTGGCCCAACCCAGTTCTGCTACTGTGGGCTGTGTTGACAAAACCAGCTCTCTCTCAAGTAAATAAATTTTTAAAATGTAAATGAGTTTCCATAATTTTCACAATAAAAAACAGCTTCATTGAAAGTTAAATTGAAACTCACTCTTTTTTTTTTGTTAAATTTTTAGTTTGAATTTTGTGGTACAATTTCATATAGACTGGGATTTCCACCTAAACTCACTCTTAATCTTATATTTAGAAGAAAAAGTTTAAGGAAATTAGAAATGGAAGTTATAGGGGTCAGTGTCGTGGCACAGAAAATAAAGCCACTGCCTGCAGTCCAGAGCCCCACATGGGCACTGGTTTGAGTTCCAGTGGCTCCATTTCCAATGCAGCTCCCTGTTAATGTGCCTGGAAAAAGAAGCAGAGGATGGCCTGAAAACTTGGACCTTTGCACCCACGTGGGAGAACTGGAAGAAGCTCCTGGCCTCGATGGGTCCAGTTCCAGCTGCTGAGACCATCTGGAGGATGAAGCATTGGAGGCAAGATTTTATCTCCTTGTCTATCAAATAAATAATTTTTTTTTAAAGAAAAGAAACCAAAGTTAGACAACTTCATTTTCCCATTCGAAGTAACAGGAGTCCATTGCTAGCTGTGCCACCACCTGCAGACTGGGCACTCTGGTTTCACACGTTAATTAAATTTCTCCAGTGTCTCAGCTTCTCGCTGTGCTTCACGTGAGGAGGTGAGAGCGTTAAGGGAATCACTTATGTCAGCGTTTCCCAAAATGCGACTGCTAAAAACACAGATCTGTGCATCTGACCCCCTAAAAAAAGACACTGGAAATTAAAAAAAAAAAAAATCAGCCTCCTTAGGTTGAGTTTGGAAAGGACTAATCATATAACCCTCTCTACCAGCTACCCATACCTAAAGTAATCTCCTTTTCACCTTCAATCAAATTCTATCCCTCATCCTACATCTACAAAGAAAAAGAGCCAATTAAAGATAAACTCATTGCCTCCATTCTCTCTCAGAAAAATGACTGTAAATTGTCATATCCTTAAATGATGAGTGGGACATGGTCAGCCACGTTGCCAACGTCTCTGTTCTCACCTCTCTACCACTGTACAGACCAGCCTGGGCCTGTGCTCCTAGAGCTGCTTTAAGCAACTGTTGACTTTCAGCCATGTTAAAGCTATAAGACCTTTGCAGTTTTTCAAACACATTCTGTCTAGAAGACACCAAATCTGAAAATACCAACACATATTCATAAAACCTCAAGCAGTTGGCAAGGGGAACAGATAATGTTGCTATGTAGCCTATACTTCTTACCTTATTAAGAAATAGAAAACATAAAACTTAAATCACTTGAAAATACAGAAAGACGCACCAAAATTAAGCAAAGCTTTCACTGTAGGAAAAAGAGAAGGAGCCCTTCTTCCCCCTTCTTTCTTTCTTTCCCTTGGCAGAGTGGTCACCCAGCCTGGCAGGGACAGGACATGTGGCCTAGGGCACGGAGTTAGGCAGGCAGAGCTGGGTAATGAACACCATGCAGGGACACAGCCATTGGCACTGAGTAGAAACCTTACGCATTCATCAAATGAGATAGAAAGAGATTGCTGAATTTGGGATGGACAAGGCCTGCATCCCTAATTAGCAGGAAGTGGTTTCAGAAGATCTAACCCTGCATCCTTCAGCAATCCTTAAGACATCTCTGAACGAGGAATGAAATGGCACAGATAGGTAGCTAGCTTAGGGTTGTGAGTTGGAAGATACACCCATGCCCTATGTAATTCTATCTGCCTGTCAGTCAAATGATTCCGTCCCCAGCATGCATTTCCCCTCTCCTGGGCCAAGGGGGTGTTTCAAATAACCCCTCCCCTTTCCAGGTTCCTGAGAAGCCTGGCAGTGGGGAGGGGAGCTCCCCGCCATCTGTGGAACATGGCATCAAACCAAAATATGTTCACATAGATCCAGGACCCATCCTACTAGGCGGCACCAAAGACTGACCCAACATGCTGCAGTGGCCCAGCTCCCTGCTCACGGACTGGCAAAAGCAGCAGAACACCACCAAGTACATGGACAGCTGTCGCCATGTGGGAGACCTGGATCAAGCTCCTGGCTCCTGACTTCAGCCTAGGCTGTTGCAGCCATCCGCAGAGTGATAGGAGAACTCTCCTCACTCCTCATTCCCTAACCATCCCCTTTTTTTCTTTTTGAAGATCTATTTATTTCTATTGGAAAGGCAGATTTACTGAGAGAAGGAGAGACAGAAAAATCCTTTGCCCACTGGTTCACTCTCTCAGTCCCTGCAATGACTGGAGCTGAGCCAATCTGAAGCCAGGAACCAGAAACCTCTTCTGGGTCTCCCACATGGGTGTAGGGTTCCAAGGCTTTGGGCCATCCTCAACTTATTTCCAGATCACAAGCAAGGAGCTGGAAAGGAAGTAGAGCACCTGGGACATGAGCTGGTGCCCATACGGGATCCTGGCACATACAAGGTAATGATTTAGCCTCTAGGCTACTATGCTGGGCCCCCTCTAACTCTTTCGTTAAATAAACAAATAAAAAAGAAGAGGGGAGAGTTATACATAAACAAAATACAGACTAAAAGAGAAAGTACCCCCAAAAAGAGAAAGTCCAAAACAAAATCAAGTGACAAAATACTAAGCATGGGTTATAAACTTGGCAATTTACAGTGCCTGAGTAAGGTAAAAACAGGACTAGAGGACAACACCAGACTGGTAGGAATCTGCCAAGCAGAGAAGTGGTGGTGCCCTTCAAGTGGCAATGAAGGGAGGTAGGCAGACAGGAAAGTAAAGGCCCAAGTGGAGGCAGGGGAGAAGAAGCCGGACGCTCCCTGTGCCCCTTCCCTGCACCTCATCAGTCCTGTCCACTGAAGAAGCCACTAGTCTCTACAGGGATGCCCTCAGACCGGCAGTCTTAGCTACAAATTCATGAAGAATGGAAAAAATAAAATGATAGAAAAAAAGAAAACACAATATATTGCAGATTTCAGCTGAAGCGTCTTCCCCAAAATGATAAATCATGAAACAGAAAAAAAAAGTCTGTCATACTTCAAATGAAATTATTCTTCACAGGTATATATAAATTATAAAACACCTAAAGTCATATTAAAAAGTCAGAAATAAAGAATTGCAATGGGGGCCATCGTTAACGGCTGAATTGGCTAATCTTCCCCTGGTAAGCGCCATGATCCCACATGGGCGCTGGTTCCTGTCCCATCCAGCTCCCCTCCGGCCTGGGAAAGCAGCAGAGGATGGCCCACTCAAAGCCTTGGGGACCCTACACCCACATGGCAGACCTGGCTCCTGGCTTTGGATTGGTTCAGCTCTGGCTATCACACCCATTTGGGTAGCAAACCAGCAAATGGAAGATCTTCTCTCTATTTCTTCTTCTCTATAAATCTGCCTTTCCAATAAAAAACTAAATACATGAATAAAACAAAATAATAGCTTATGGAACTAAAGAAAGAAATGACAAAAAGACAAAAAATTTTCAAAAATGATGAATAAATTACATATGCTCAAAGGAAAATAGATTTGAATGAATATTTACTAAGAGACAATAAAGAAAGGAAAACTACGAAAACAGCAAGGGTGAGATAAAGAAATTGAAGATATCAGAGATAATGTGGCCAAAATGGAAGACAGGTGAAGAAGGTCCAGATACATAAATGTGGACTCCTGAGAAGTTAAGCAGGTCAAGTCACGCTCGTGATGCCAGGATCCCGTGTCCGAGTGCCGGGGTGAGTCCCTCTGTCTCACTTCTGATCCAGCTCCCCACGCACACACCTGGAAAGCAGGGGAGAACCCTCGGCCCCCTATCACCCCCAAGAGAGATGGAAAACCTCGACAGAAGGAGCTTCAGCACGGACCAGCCTTGGCCTTTAGAGAGTGAATCAGCAGATGGAAGATTCTCTGTGTGTTGTTTTGTCTTTTAAATAAATAAACAAATCTTTTTTAAAAAAAAAAATACTCTAAGAAAGTTTTCCAGAAGAAAAAAACCTTAAGTCCACATAATAAATGGAAACCCTGGATGCTAGAGAAAATCGACCCAGAATGACAAAATCCCAAAAAAAAAAAAAAAACCAAACCAATGCTCTAAGTTCCTGGACTTTAAAGAGAGAAAAACCTCAGCACTCCCAAGTAGAAAAATCAAATTATTTACAAAAGTCCGAAAGTGAGAAAGTGAGACAGGCATTAGATTCTTCAAGATAATTATACAAAGCAAGATAGTGGGTGGGGTGAGGCACTGGGTGCAGTGGGCTAAGCGGCAGCCTGGGACACCCACATCCCTGATCCAAGTGCCGGGTTTGAGTCCTGGCTACTCCACACTTCTGGATCCAGCCTCCTGCAAACGCACCTGGGAGACAGTGCATGACGGCTGGAGTACTTGCGTTTGCCAGCACTGTGAAGTCCTGGATGGACTCCTTGCTGCTGGCTTCAGCCTGGCGCAGTCCCAGCTGTTGCAGCCCTTCGGAGAGTGAACTAGAAGATATCACTCTGTCACTCTGCCTTTCGACTTTTTTTTTAAGCCAGACAAAACATGGGACACAGCATTTTCAAGAAATTCAAGAAAAAAATTGTATTAGTTTCATATCCTGTCAAGCAATCCCTCAAATACTGGATCCAGGAACAGTGCACACGTGCAAGAATCAGGGAGCACTGGACACACACGTGCTTCCTGGAAGAAGCCAGACGCAGAGCAGATGTTCTGCAGCCAGGCTGAAGCCAGAAGGATGGCTCTCGGTTATTTGAGAGCTGTAACTGTAGTGTTAAAGAGTAAAACCAATGTAGGGTCACACGTGGAAGAAGAGCAGGTCAAAACCGCATGGTTTCACAGTAGAAAGGAAGCAACTGACGGAGTGAGAGGAGAAAGAGAACAGTATCGTGACAGAGTGCTCAGGCAGGCTGTAGACAAGATTCAGAACCAACAGGCACCTGATTCAAAGGATGTGCGGGGAGGTATAAATCCAACAGTGATCACTAAAACAAACACACATCGTCAAATATCAAAAGAAATTTCTAAATGGCAAAGACACACATCTTACAGAAATATAATTAAAGTGGCAGAACTGAAATTGGTCATATAGTAAATGATGGCTTAACCAATGTAGTAAAAAGGAAAAGATTTTCAAATTATCTCATAGTGCCAAACTCAACTCTATGCTATATAAAAAAGATACATTTGAAGCCTGCTAGTTCAAAAAGGCTAAACAGAAACAGATGGACAAAAATATACTTAGCAAATTAAAAACGAGAAAGCAGTGGATGCCATCCTAATATCAAAGTATAACTCCTAACACAATGAACCAGATAGAGTTTAATCTACTTATTACTTTGTGCACTTATTATCCACAATTAGCTTCACAGTCTTACTGAAGTCGTAAGTTGGTTCTCTTATGTTCCCTAAAGCGGGATGATGCCTCATCACATGTCGAGAAAAAGGCAGATACAGACGAGAGACTCTTTCCTCTCCATTTCCAGAGACTGAGCAGTACTCCGAATAGAAATGAACATTTACCGACTGACGATTGGTTTCAGAAAATTGTATAGCTCTTAATGACTGAGAACATCAAACAGAAAAACGACCTCTGGTGACTAAGAAAACACACTTACCTTCTATTTCTTGGCCAATAGAAAGTCCAGCCCATTTTCGCTGTGAAATAAGAGGAGAAGAGGACATTGAAAAACAATCAATCAAAGTTAGAGAAACAGATTTAAAAAAAAAAAAGAAAGAAATTTCTATACATTTCTAACTTCCACTTAGAATGAGCATGCTCTAAGAACAAAGCATGATATGCTGTAATGTGTTGAATTGTATCCCCCTCCAAAAATATGCTGAAGTCTTAGTACCTAGCACCTGTGCAAGTGACTGTATTGAAAAACATTGTGATTGCATTTCATTTGAAAGTCAGAGGGAGAGAGAGAAAAAAAAAAGTCAGAGTGGGGGGGATGGATCCAGATGCAGAACACAATAAATTCTCCCTCATACTTCCAGAAGCTGATTTCAGAGAACTCTGCCTTCTCTCCCTCACTTCTTTGTAACAGTCCTAGGAGCCTAACACATACCAACACCCGCCCCCTAACCAACACAGACCCCCAAATACACAAAACCCACCTTTTCAGAGCAAGCTTTATCAGGTCAGAATCTAAGCAAGGACTCAGCCATGAGATGATCCTGACAGCTCCACTTGTGCTGGCTTAGGGAGCTGAAGGCATTTACAACCAGTTTAGCTTTCCCCCATCCTGCCTCGTTACAACAGCAAGGCAGGCCAGACCATGGGCGGGCATTCTAGGTTAGCTTGGTATGCATTCAAAATGAGCGATTAGTGCCAACACTCCAAAGAACAGTGAGAAAAATGAAATAATTTTTGGCTGAAAATAATTTTTTTTTTTGCCTACATGGCACTGTTTATTGGCATAGCAGAAGTAGGCAGGGGATTTGCAAATGTGCAGGACCATGGAGTCAGCAAGCGGGAGGATGGTAAGGGAGAAAAGGCTGTAGACCAGGATCTGTGGTACTCCCGTCTCACGTGCTCTGTGAGAGGCACAGCATGAGGCCGTCTAGTTCTACAGATTCCATAGGATCTTCCAACAGCTCAAGTTGTAATCATAATCATTCCTGTTATTACAGGAGTCCAGCGAGGCAGGACAATTACACCTTTCCTTCTTTGGTCTGATACCAGCACACTGTAAAATCACTATTACCACATGCCAATTTTATAAATCAAGTATCACTTTTATAACTTTTACGCTATCCTAGTAGTTAACATCAAAACAACGTGATCCTTTAGCTGCTTGCTGACTGATGTTACTAGACGATTTTTCAAAATCAGAAAAAGCTCGAGACAATAAAAGGCAGCTAAAGTAAAAATTCCTTACGTGATAGATATTTACATATTTTGTTTAATGTGAATCCAGTCTGTTACAGACTGACGTTTGCTTGAAATGAAGCGATTCTTCTATGACTCTGAGGAGCTGAAGAGAAAAGCGAGCGTCCACGTTACCTGAGGTAAGCTGAAGGCGATGCTCCCAGGCACCACGGACGGGTGGGTCCTCAGGGTGAACGTGAACCTGTGATTGGGGGAGGTCCTCACAACCACGTGCCTGAAAGACAACCGCACAAGGAAAGGAGAGCAGCATTTCCAACGTGTTCCCCTCCAAGCCGCCATCTGAGGGGTACCAGGCGGCAATGCGGATTCATATGGGAGACTAGCAAAAACAGCAGCACAGAATTAGCTTCCAAAAGCTGTCAGTCGAGGGGTTATTTACTTACGGTCCCACCCTTGGGTACCGAGGTTCAAATCCCAGCTCTGCTCTCTACCAACGCTGGCCTCGGAAGACAGCAGCTCAAGCAGCTGAGCTCTTGTCAGCCACAGGGGAGACCTGGGCTGTTCTCAGATCTTGGTTTTGGCCCCACCACCAGGGCCCTGGCCATTGCAGGCATTTAGAAAGGAAACCAGCAGATTTCTATCTCATCAATAAAATATTTTTTTTAAAAAAATGTAAAGGGATGGGCTGGTATTGTGGCACAGCAAAGAAAGCAGCCACCGGCAATATCTGCATCCCATACGGGTACCAGTTTGCATCCCGGCTGTTCCTCTTCCTAATCCAGTTCCCTGTCAAGGAACCTAGGAAACCATGGGAGATGGCTCAAGTGCTTGGGCCCCTCACCCACGTGGGAGACCTGGAAGAAGTTCCCGGCTTCAGCCTGGCTCTGCTCTGGCCTTTGCAAGACAGCGATCAGTTCTCTTTCCCTCTTCTTCCCTCCCTTCCTCCCTGCCTTTCTCTCACTCTCTTTGTAACTCTGCATTTCAAATAAATAAATCTTCGTATTCCAGGGGCTGGTGTTGTGGCACAGTGAGTTCAGCGGTCGCCTGCAAAGCCCATGTCTCATATTTGAGTGCCAGTTTGCACTCTGGATGCTCTGCTTCTATCCAGCTCCTGGCTAACGGCCTGGGAAAGCAGCAAGAGCAGTCAAGCACCTGGGCTCCTGCCACCCAAGTGGGAAACCCAGATGGAGTTTCGGGCCCCTGGCTTTGGCATGACCCAGCCGCAGTCCTGGCCGGTGCAGCCATCTGCGGAGTAAAGAACAGAATATCTGTGATTTCCTCTCTCTGCCATTCTGTCTTACGAATAAATAAAATAAATCTTCAAATAAACTGTCATCAGTTCAAACTGGTTTGGGGGACATATGGATAACCCTGGGCCAAGCAAAAATCAGGTGGAATGCAGCCAAGCTCAACAGATGACATACCAGCTAAAATTTCAACTTTATTACACTTTAGTTTTAAGTAAAGCTAAACCAGCGATGTAGGGTTCTCAATATTGGGTAAAAACTATAAATTTCCTCTCCTGGATTATTTTTTTAAAGATTCATTCATTTTTACTGGAAAGTCAGATATACAGAGAGGAGATACAGAGAGAAAGCTCCTCCGTCTGCTGATCCACGCCCCAAGTGGCCACAATGGCTGAAGCCTCCTCCAGATCTCCCACGGGGGTGCACGGGCATCCTCCATTGCTTTCCCAAGCCATAAGCAGGGAACTGGATGGAAGTGGAACAGCCAGGAATTGAACCAGTGCTCATATGCAATCCATGAAAGGACTTTAGCCACTAGGCTACAGCACCAGGCTCCATGATGGGCAAATCTAACTCAGTGAGACTCATGCTTTTCCCAACAGCTTTAAACAAACAAGAAAGAACACAGTTAAAATTCTGCCTGGTCACTGCTTACTTCCTATACCTACTTGTGATACCAAAACTCAGAAGCCTGTGACGGCACTCAAGTACCAAGGACTTGCAAGCTTTGGCAGGAAATGGTGTGAAGCAGTTAAAATAGATCATGATGGGGCCTAGCACAGTAGCCCAGTGGCTAAAGTCCTCGACTTGCATGTGTCAGGATCCCATTTAGGCACCGATTTGTATACTGGATGCTCCACTTCCCTTCCAGATCCCTGCTTGTGGCCTGGGAAAGCAGTGGAGGACGGCTCAAAGCCTTGGGACTCTGCACCCACGTGGGAGACCTGGAAGAGGCTCCTGCATCAGCTCAGCTCAGGCCATTGCAGCCACTTGGGGAATAAACCAGCAGAGGGAAGATCTTCCTCTCTGTATATCTGACTTTGTAATAAAAATAAATAAATCTTTAAAAAAAGATCGAGTCAATTGTTGCGCGTCCTCCAGCCACCACGTCCCTGAGGTTACCCTAATACTTATGGAGGGCTCATTCACGTGTTGGGCACCGTGCTTTTATTATCTAACTTAACATCACTTCCTTTATACACACTAAGACATTCAGGCACAGAGATGGAAGATAACCTACTCATGGCAACCCAAGCCAGGATCCAAACTCAGACTCCAGAACTAAACAGCTGGCAAGACGCCATGTGTGATTCTCACCATCAGTACGAACACAGTTCTGCTAAGGAAATCAATACAGAGGGTCCAGCACGGTAGCCTAGTAGCTAAATCCTTGCCTTGTATGCACCGGGATCCCAAGTGGTCACCAGTTCATGCCCATGTTCATGTCCAGTTCATGTCCCAGTTTATGTTCTGGCAGCTCCACTTCCCTTCCAGCTCCCTGCCTGTGTCTTGGGAAAGCAATGGAGGACGGCCCAAAGCACTGGGGCCCTGCACCAGCATGGGAGACCTAGCAGAAGCTCCTGGCTTCAGACTGGCTCAGCTCTGGCTGCTGTGGCCACTTGGGGAGTGAACCAATGAATGAAGCATCTTTCTCTCCTCTCTACAATCTGCCTTTCCAATAAAAATAAATCTTATTTTAAAAAAGAAGAAAATCAATACAGAATAACAAGCTGTATCTAGAAAGGTATGTATAGTTTTCATTTTCATTTTTTAATTATTATTTTATGATACATTTCCATAGAGGTATGTATAGTTCTAAAACCACTGTAATTATCAAAATTTAACAGGGTACCAGATGAAATATATAACTCCTTCTTATCTTTATCTTGCAACTTAAGAAGAGAAATTTTTTTAATTATCTTAGGAATTTCTAAAATACCACTTAGCAAGTTAGAACAAAATGAAGTCAGATACTCACTGGCCAGACTGGAAATCCTTTTCATTCACAACTGCACAGTTGGTTAAAGACAATTCATCCGTAGGACATCTCGCAGCTTGCATGCTCTGAGGAGATCAATGATTAGGAAATCAAATTAGGTCATATTTTATGTCTTTTTTTAAAAAGATTTTTATTTATTATTTTTGTTACAAAGTCAGATATACAGAGAGGAGGAGAGACGGAGAGGAAGATCTTCCATCCGATTATTTACTCCCCAAGTGAGCGCAACAGCCGGTTGCCAGGAACCAGGAACCTCTTCCGGGTATCCCACATGGGTACAGGGTCCCAAAGCTTTGGGCCATCCTTGACTGCCTTCACAGGACACAAGCAGGGAGCTGGATGGGAAGTGGAGCTGCTGGGACTAGAACCAGCGCCCATATGGGATCCTGGTGCGTTCAAGGTGAGGACTTTAGCCGCTAGGCCATGCCACCAGGCCCCATATTTTATATCGTAAGAAATATTTTATGCCCTATTGCCCACTATTCATCACTGCAAACACTATTAACTCCCAGTGATAACAAAGCCTCCCATGGGAAGTGGCTCCTTCCCAGTCCCCTTGGCTTTGCGGAACTGCCAATCACAGCTGGTGCAAGCACACACACTCCTCTCCCACCCTTCGGGTTCTCTTCCCATTGGTGCTGGAGGAGACACGCTCTCCCTTCCACACCACCACACAGAGGAAGACATGCTGCCCTCGGGGACTGCGAAACCTTCACCAAGAAGCACAGACACTCTAACAGCTGCAAACACGGACCTGACAACCAAATCACAGTCCTTGGGGCCGGCTCTGAGCACTATGGGCCAATAAACTCCTTGTTGTTCAAGCTTATCTGAATTGCTTTTCATTCTCATTCAGAGACTTGTGGCTGGTACACATGTGATGAATTCAATAAATACGACAAGGTATATTATGGAAAAGTTTTTTTGTTGTAAGAGATCCTAAGTAGATATGGCTGAGCTTGAACTTCTTCCAAGTGTAGACGGCCTCTCCATCCACAGCTTCTGCATCCATGGATTAAACCAACTACAGATGAAAAATATTTGAAACAGCTGTGTACTCATCATATACAGATTTTTTGCATTCATTCCTTACACAATAAAAGGTAACAACATTTATAGAGGATTTACATTGTATTTAGTATTACAAGTAATGTGGCAATGGCTTAAAGTTGCCACGATGACATAGCTAGGTTACATAATCACAGCATCACGAGGGACTTTGGCGCCCTGGGATTTGGTGCCTGAGAGGCGATGGATATCAATGGACAACTGTGTCACAGCAAAAATAACTCAAGAACACACATGCACATCCAGAAGGAGTTTGAAAACAGCATTTAAATTTATTTATTTATTTATTTCTTCATTTATTTAGTTGAAAGTCAGGGAGAGAGAGAGGAGACAGGGTGAGATCTTCCATCTGCTGGTTCACTCCCCAGATGGCTGAGCGGTCAGCATCTGGCCAGGCTGAAGCTAAGAGCCAGGAGCCTCTTACAAGTCTCCCAGATGGGTCACAGTGGCCCAAATATTGGCACCATCTTTCACTGCTTTTCTTAGGCCATTAGCAGGAAATTGGACAGGAGGTGGAGCAGCCGGGATCCACACCTGCACATTGGCATGCCAGTGTGGCAGGCAGCACTTTTATCTGTTATACCACAATGCCGGCCCCAAAACTAGCAACTTAACAGCCTTTTTAGTCAGCAGCTACTAACAAAACATTTGTCTGTATAATGTATTTGACTCATACGTCTCCATCATTCCCTAAGGCTTTCTTTTGAGCTATGACAATCACCGTCATTGTCACTTTATAACTAAAGTACTCATTCTTCAGACTTCAAGACTGAGCTGATTATTCTGAAATTTTGTCTCTCAAATTCAAATTTATACAACAAAATAAGTAATTTTTGCTACACTGCTTTTACCGTAACTCAAAGGCTGTCTCCATGTCATTATCCCAGTTGCTTAGGGCAACAGTCTCTAAATTGGGATATGCACTCTTATTTACAAGATAATCATTTAGAGTACAAAAAAATTATGGTATTTCTATCTATATTTCTTTTACGTCAATTTTCACTAAAGGCAAACCACAACCTAAGTATACTTTGCCTTAAAATACCACCTTCTGAATTCTTCATAATCTACCTCGTCTTCAAAAATTCACACCAAGAGGAACTAGCACTGCCACACAGCAGTTAAGGAAACTGCCTTCAATGCAGTATCCCATACGGACACTGGTTCACATCCGGTTGCTCCACTTCTGATCCTGCTTCAGATCCGCCCAGCTCCAGCCACTGTGGACACTTAAGGAGTGAACCAGCAGATGGAAGATCTTCCTCTCTGTCTCTCCTCTCGGTAAATGTGACTTTCCAATAAAAATAAATAAATCTTTAAAAAAAAAAAGAAAAAGAAAAAGATCTTGGCTCCTAGCCATTCAGGCCAAATGGGAAGTAAAACAGTAAATGAAAGATTCTCCCTCCCTCCCTCCCTCCCTGTCTTTCAAATAAGCAAATCTTTTCAAAATATATAATACAATTTGAGTAATATGTTAATATGTAAGAACAAATAGATGGAAAGTCACTAGCTACATTTCAATAAAACTTTTTCATAACATGATTAAGCTTGGAAAAGAATGATTTTGAAAGTACAGCCAAATTCTGATACAGATTTTGAATGCCATTAAAAGAAAAATAAACTGAATTTAGAAACAGCTCTCTGAATAGTTTTGTCACAACATAGTACACTAATACTTAAAAAATGATATCTGAACGTTGCATTCTATATTAATAAAAACTGTCAATATAATATTATACATTTCATCGTCATCTCATCTTTCATTCATTTTTTGTTTTACTATGTATTTTAACTATTAGTATGGCATTTGTAAATCTATTTGGAATGTATTGGGTTACTTTGGTGCTTCATGATCCAAAATTGAGAAATCATTCATGTAGAACATGACACAAATAAAACCAAGAACTGAAGTCTGCTTTCTGAATCTGACAACATTTTGCCAAAGGTCACAGCTTGACCAGGCATCTGACAAACATATAATGAACTTTCTTCATTTTCTCATCTTCTAACTCTCTCTCACCCGTGAGCTTCTTCCTTTTAGGTCCTCTGTTAACCCCAGATAGTTCCTTGTCTGGTCAACACGTACTTGGGCTGTCACCTTAGATGCTACTTTTATCGCCAAGTATTCAGGATTTCTGTTCTTCCCAAATAAACTGAAATAACAAACTTCAAACGGAAGCGTCACTTTCACTGTCAGGCTACATGTCTGCATTGCACATGAGGCAATGAGCTTCTCGTTGAAGGAGACACGCCTTTGTTCAAGCCCACAGCTCCCAAGGCCAGGGCACGGCCTGGCAAGCGAGTACTCGGGAAACACTGATTGAAGACATACATTTGCAGAGCAATACAAATGTCATTCAGCTCTAGAATAAGCAATCCAAAGATGTACACAAGGAATGATCACTTCAAGACTATTTAGAAAATTACAAAATTTAACTAAAATCATGTAATAGATTAAAATTACACAGAATCGATACAGCTGAAGTAATAAAAAAATTTACATAACACTAATCTAACCTTTGTATCTGCAAACTTGCTTGTTAAATGCACTTAAAAAAAAAAGTGAAAAAAATTTGCAGAAGTCATCTGGCTGGCCAACTAAAACAGATGCTGTGAGCAAAAGGCCTCCCTTCTAGAAGCGAGAAGCATCTGTGTTTTCATGGTAAGCCAAGCAGGGTATCACACTTTTCAACAGAATCACTATAAATAGTGGCCACCTACTTACCATGATAATACCAAGTGAAAATTCTTTAATTTCTCTAACACTAACCTTGCCTCTAGGAAACAATAATAAAAGCCATCACTACAGCCATGCAGGGTTTTTTTTATGATTTATTTTTATTAGAAAGGCGGATATACATAGAGGAGAGACAGAGAGGAAGATCTTCTGTCCGATGATTCACTCCCCAAGCGGTCGCAATGGCTGGGGCTGTGCCAATCCAAAGCCAGGAGCCAGGAGCCTCCTTCAGGTCTCCCACACGGGTGCAGGGTCCCAAAGCTTTGGGCTGTCCTCAACTGCATTCCTAGGTCACAAACAAGGAGCTGGATGGGAAGTGGGGTTGCCATGATCAGAATCAGTGCCCATATGGGATCCCGGAGCGTGCAAGGCGAGGACTTTAACCACTACGCTACTGCGCCAGGCCCCATCCATGCAGTTGTTAAGAAATGAAAAGCTAAAGGGGATATGAAGTTTTATACAAGCATAGTTGTTCAAATTCATGGAACACTAAACTGTCTGAAGGCTGTAGAAATGTCTTCATTAGAACAATCTGAAATGTCAAAAATTATAAACACTACTGCCCGAGAGAAGAAATTTCCATAAACCTTAATGAATGTTTAACGGAAGTAATTATATCATTACTTATTAGAGAGCCTTTAAAGAGCAGAATGAGAATTTGCTTTTATCATCAATAGAACTGGGAGACTTATCTAGGCCTCCTTTGGACAACACTGCACAATTTTAGAATTGAAATAGCAAACCTTTAAAGGTTCACTTTCAAACACTGGACTATTTAAGGATTGGCATTGTGGGACAGTGGGTTAAGCCACCCCCTGTGATGCTGGCACCCCATTTGGGCAGCAGTTTGTATCCCAGCTGCTCCACTTCCGATCCAGCCCTCTGCTATGCACCTGGGAAACAGCAGAAGATGGCCCACGTGCTTGGGTCCCTGCACCCATGTGAGAGACACGGATGGGAGTCCTGGCTTCTGGCTTTGGCTTGGTCCAGTCCTGGCTGTTGTAGCCATCTAGGGAATGAACCAGTGGATGGAAGATATCTTTTAAACAAATCTTAAAAAAAAAAAAAAAGAAGAAAAAGAAAAAGAAAAAAAGCTGGCTAATGACACGCTTTATAATGTTCATCAAATAATTTTACAGCAAAATAAACAGAGCAAAAAAAAATAATAATAACGCAGAGAGTACACGATGTGATTAGAAGAGCCCTTCACCTCTGGCTGCCCTGTCCTAGGCCCCCCATCCTCTGGCTGCCCTGTCCTAGGCCCCCCATCCTCTGGCTGCCCTGTCCTAGGCCCCCCATCCTCTGGCTGCCCTGTCCTAGGCCCCCCATCCTCTGGCTGCCCTGTCCTAGGCCCCCCATCCTCTGGCTGCCCTGTCCTAGGCCCCCCATCCTCTGGCTGCCCTGTCCTAGGCCCCCCATCCTCTGGCTGCCCTGTCCTAGGCCCCCCATCCTCTGGCAGCTTCAACTGCTGTGCGCTTCTCCCTACGGGGAAGGGATGGACAGAAAACACAAACTTGCCTCAGGGCCAGTTCAGCTATAAAGTCTCACGATTATTTCTTACGCAAGAATATTTCCTGAAAAACGGCATTTCATAGCCACACAGCGTTCAGTCACTAACTGGCTAGTGCTGGCCTGGAGCTGTGCAAGGAAGCCAGCAGTAACGTCCCTCTGCCGGCCCAAGGAACTCCTCTGTGCTACAAATGCCTTTACTGATCATTTGTTGGGACCCCCACATCTTACCAAAGAGTGTCTGGTTGTAAACCCTGCTGTTTTCTAATTCCAGTTCTTTCTCTCTCTCTGCCTCCCAAATAAATTTTTAAATGTTTAAGATACAATTCTGTTGGGCCCAGCGCAATAGTGTAGCAGTTAAAGTCCTCACCTTGAAAGCGCCAGGATCCCATATGGTCACTAGTTCTAATGCCGGCAGCCCAGCTTCCCATCCAGCTCCCTGCTTGTGGCCTGGGAAAACAACAGAGGATGGCCCAAAGCCTTGGGATACTGCACCCACATGGGAGACCCACAGAAAGATCCTGGCTTTGGATTGGCTCAGCTCCAGGCGTTGTGCTCGCTTGGGGAGTGAACCATCGGACAGAAGATCTCTGTCTCTCCTCTTCACTATATATCTGCATTTCCAATAAAAATAAATAAAATCTTTTTTAAAAAATTACAATTTCTGTTAAAATTGAGAAGTCACACAGGACTAAAAGTGATGGGGTAGCACTAAGTTAAAGATGTATGTATTTCTCATTTTAGTGATAACC